TCCGCTCGCTAACGATACAATCAATAAGCCGCATTAAAGACACGTCAATCAAAGTAATGCTAAAAATTAAAAAATAATAATAATAATAATAATAAAAAATTGTAGATATATCAACAAGCCAGATGAACAAAGAATTTAAAGCTTTCTATAATAATCTAATAATCTATATAGTATACATTCACATAAATATTTAATTTCTAAATATCAATTATAGAAACTGAAGATATAATACATAGTACTTTCACATGCTGTAATTAATATTGAGAATAAAAAAAATAATATTGTGTCAGAAGAAAGAATTCGTAATCAGAATATTCTAGACAGCCTCGAGATCGTCGATCGAAAGATTCCAGAACCTTATAAAGACTTGTTAATATGCAATGCAATATTTATATAAATGCTATTTACATTTGTGGCCAAGGCAAATAGTAAAACCTTCTGCTAAATGTGAAATCTCTGTTGAATCTGATCAACAACGACTTCACCTTATGGGTTATGGAGCTGTTAGCACTTAGACTGCCAATAATTCATAGCAGAGATGAGATACTTACAATATACATATTTCTAGAAAATATGCCAGATCGCTTAACTTAGGTGTTTACTGTTCCTAATTGCATTATATTATTTGAATTTGTTTTGCTCATAAGCAAGTCTTACTAAAAAGCCTTATATGAATAAGACTATAGACTTTATCAATTTACACAGTTTGATTAGCAGCTTTTAGCACCTCTGTGTGTATGGGACTAAAATATGCAAATGGCCAATAAATAAAAAAATATATACATCTGTAATAATAATATTTACTTTGCGTTAAATAATTAATAACAACAGAGCTAATATATACATAAATCGGAAAGAATTATCACGAAACGATAAAAATGCCAATAAAGATTTATCTCGACGTGCTATGTATGCCTAGAGTTCTGCTCCATATATAAGCAATTCGATGGATGAATCCCTGCTTTGACTTGCTTCTGGTATACGTTTCCCCCTAAGAAGAAGTTAAGCTGCTATGCCATAAATTCATGGGTTTAATATGGGATGTGTGTGAGTGTGTGTGTGTGTGTGTGTGTGTCATAAAGTCTATGATAAATCGCTGGGATCTGCAAACAACAATCAGGCAGCTTAAATAGAATGCTGCAGTGATAATCGTGTGCCAGCCGGCAATCAACGTCAACGTCAACAAACAGATCTTGCAAATCTCAAGATCACAATCAACCGACCGGGTTATCTAAATGGCAGCCCAACGGAGCCCAAAGCAAACTAACCAAATGTCTGTATGAACTGCTCTAAAATTAGACAACCAGCCAGCCAGCCAGCCAGCCAGCCAGTCAGTCAGCCAGTCAGCTAGCCAGTCAGCCAGCTGTCAGGGCAGCACGTTCACGAGACTCGAGATGAAAAGAGTCTCGGCGGGACACGGGAGTCGGAGTGGGAGAGAGTCGGAAGATCGGAACTCGCGCGTTACGGCAATGTTTTCCTCCACAAATCCATGCAGATGCAAAGCTGTTTATTATCTTTGCCTCTACACTAAGTTGATAGTATATGGTATTACTTAAATTTACTATAGCGCTTGTCGCTTGTTTTCAAATGTTTCAAAAGAAAACACACGCCGAGACTGATGGGACACTTGTCAGGGGGCTTTTGCAATGCGTTGCCGTTGTCTGTTTATCTTGAAAATGCCTCAAATGCTACGGACGGGGTCTATTTTTAAATGAGATAGCTCTTTACTTAGCGATGAGTATTACACATTTTGTTGACGAGGACAGCTTATTAGTTGAGCTCTCGAATCGGCAGTCAAACAAATTTTTAATTGCCCACACAAATTATCGCTGGGGTCTTACACCCGAAAATGGCATCGTAAAATTCTATAAAATATAATGCCATAGCTGGCAGACGACAGGCGCGATCTTAAGCCCTCCGAGTATGTGGCACATTAGCGTCATAAATTTCAATTTTAATTGCCATCGTATTTAGATTAGAGAGGGAGAGAGAGAGAGAGAGTGTGTGTGTGTGAGCAGAGGAAAAGGGAGATAGGGAGAGACTACTGAATGGACGCATCTCTATTAAAACCTCTGCCATTAGAATCTATTCCCGAACGGCACCGAAAACACTTCCATTACTGCCCTCCAGCCGGTGGCACGACAAAGTGTCAACGCAAACAATGAATGGAAGGGGGCTTTACCAGAATTTATTAACGAATATGCAGTGCACTTTCTTTACACAGAATATGTAAAGTTTTTTGACAAATCGGTTTTAGTTTATCTATAAAAATTACAATGCTTTGAGGCGGATATAATAATCAGAATTCCCAGATTAAAGTCGCTCACTTCAGTTAGTATATTTTAAATCCCATAAACCAACTGAAAATCCACCGAGTCTTAACCAAATAGTATTTCTTATCAAGATTCTATTGTTTCATCAACTTGTCAAATTGAATAGAAAATCCTATAATGCCACATAAAGCACGCAGAGTGTAACAGATCTTGGGACAGAACATAACAAAATCGTGTCGAAGTGTTTAATAAATAACAAATCACCCAAAAGACCTCAGAGACAGGCAACAACAACAGCAACAACAACTCGGAGAGAACTCGAGTATTCAGTAATAAACAAAAACAGGCCGCGGCCAGCGATTGAAATTTATGTGACTTGATCTGTTTTCAAGTGGGACGGACGTCTTATCAGTGGGTATTCCAGTACAGATTTACAATTAATTGCGAGCAATTGTGAACAGGCGTTCCTCAAGTACACACACACACACACACACACATGCGCATACATGCACATACAATCAGTCAGTATGTGTCGATTACTGCTAGACGTTGCTTTATTCAGGTTCATAATTAATGAAATATCTTTGTGCAAATCATTTGGGAAACTACTCAACTTCATTAGCAGATCGTAAATAATGTCAGAAAGCGCAAGGCCTGAAATTTATGTGGCGGGCTAACTATGCATGCTGAATAATTTACAAAATTTTTGAAAAAAAAAATAAAATAAATAAATAAATATATGGAAAGAAAGTCGAGCACAAAAGATACAAAACAAAAATTAAAAATAAAAACAAAAAAGAAAATCCAGCACAGAAACAATAGAATTTTAACAAGAAATATAATTTATAGCCACTTAAGTCATAAATTTATTTTTAATTTCGCCCAATTCACATTTACAACGCGCAGCGCAAACAACATCGCTCAACCTCGCCAAGCCCCACATTTGAATACCCTATAACGGAGGTTGAAGTCCCAATCAGGTAGATTGATCTGGAACCAGATAAACAGAATGAATCTTTTATTATACGCACCACCATTGCCAGAGGTGAATCGCCTTATGATTAGCTAACATTATCATATTGTTATTATTATAATTATATTTACTGTTGTGGATATTATTATGGTGATAGTCATCTAAATTGATATTGTTGTTATATCTGTTAATATCAATACACATATATCTTCATCATTATTATTATTATAATGCATCAACATCATTATCATAATTACTATTAATATTATGCACATTATATATTATAATTAAAATAATTATGAATGATTATCATAATTAATATTAATATTATTAATTACATATAACTAAAA